TTTGAAGAAGTAAGTTTGGATGCGATGAGCCACGTATGATGAAATTATAATTCACGTCCCGAGACTTAACGTGCGGTGAAGATAAGGAGTTAAAACAGAGATCAATGGAAATAGGATTTTTGGTATACATATATACTGTTTCAATCTTTGGTTTTCAAGCTAAAGAGTACACATAATGCGTTGGTCAGTTAAATACCATGTATATATATTGTATGATGTTAGTAACTCTGAAAATAGAAGATTCAAAAACAAAGTTATCCCAAATTATTGTTTTAATTTTCTGTATTTGATGAAGCAGAAGACCATACTCTTCCGGAACACCTGGTCTTATTTTCCTTGTACTTTTTCAGGAGTCTATGTGTATATCTTTTTTTGCATATTTTGCCCTATTTGTATTGAATTTTGAGTTTGGATCATGTTGACATGTTGGTAATTTTTGTTTTATTTTGTTTTTTTTTTATTATTATTATTTTCGTGCTGTTGCAGAAATTGAATTGCAGTGAACGGAGGGACTATCATGTTTGTACAGTATAAAACATCCTACGTTTCCAGTTTAGACAATTTATTGCCCAAGTGCATGACGAACTAACGTTAAAGCGTGTGTTCTGTCCAGTTGTGGTTTTATCATTCGGTTATCGAGAATACATTTCACTTGATATTGATTAGTGAGTTAGCTGTTACTGGGATGCATACTTCCAGACTTCTCTGCCACGATATAACTAAGGCACATTCACGTACATTTTATAATGCAGAATGATATTGGAGTCGTGCAAATCCTGATAGAGAATGAAACATTTATTTTTCGAAATGCAAGAACCCATGCGAAAGGAATATAAAACCCATCCTAAACACGTAAAACTTAGTTAGCTTCGAGAAGATCACTAGTTAGCGGGAATGCGGGGGTTTTAGGAAGATTCCTAGTTGATTCGGCACGGTATATTGACACTCAAACACACCGGTCTACAGATGTCATGGGGGTGATTTTCAATTTAGGTGCAATCCCACAAAAATCGTTAAAAATTCGTGAAAAATTGGGTAGAAACTCTGTTGACGTAATTTGTGAGAAATAACAAATAAAATACACAACAGTGAAGCACGTTTTTACTCCGTGGTTTGTTGATATAATATATTGATGAAAATATCTATAAAAAATGTTTAATCTTATTCTTTAAAATTTTATTTATTCTTTTATCATTTTTAATATTTAAAAAAATATATTGTTATTTTATGTAATATGATGTGACAAAAGGATTGGTCAGTAATTTTACCAGCTTATGGTCGACCTCTCCCTAAAGAACAGGTATACCAATTATGCAATAACAAGTCACGTGATTACATATAAAATTATTTTATCTCGTTCCTTAATCACAGCATTCTGTCTTAGCGACTGAAGTAAATGTCAGTGTGACATTACAAGTGAAATAATATGAATCTTTGCGATGCTTGTTAAATCAACTTCTATTGCGTGGCTTGGAAGGAAATATCTGGGAAGATTAATTGTAGATGATATCCAAATACACCTGGGAAACACACATGGGCGGACACGTGACCCCGTATTTTTACATGCAAGTCCAGTCGGGGAATCGCACTGCGTAACAACTTTGTCAGCTGACCAACCATTGACAACTTTAAGTTGGAATACACATGTATCTTGTCATTCTTTCCGCTTGTGCAAGAAATTAGTCCCAATTTAATTTGTATCTGAAGTATAAGAATAAGGATGCAGCCATTTAAAGTGAGCAACATGAAAACTGGAAAAAATATCAGCCAATCAGGTCTCAGCGGCCTCGTTAGATTTGCAAACGATTTGCCGGTAATCAAACTTGAACACGGATTAAGTTTCATAAAAATCCTACCAGTCCTTCAAAAGATATCATGAGGAAAGCAGCATCCGGACGGTGAGCGGACGGATCGACGGCTGGACGATCGGACGGAACCTATTTGAATACCCTCTGGCAGCTTTGTTGGGCAGGGATTATAAGGCGTCCCGAATAACAATAGATATTGATTATTAGTGAGAAAAGAAAATTGTTTCAAAGAATGTATGCATTGGAAAAGAGATTATTCAACTCCAATTTATTACAATTGATGGTCTTGGTTGATGAATGCAGAGGTTTTAATATCAGAGAAAAGCCCCGTGGTTGTACGTGTGTTACCCTTTTTAAAGTCTGATCGACGAAACAAACCCTGCCTACTTGATGAAAGTGGGCAGGATTATAACGATATTCAACTCAACCGCACATAATTTAATAACACTGTGTTGAAATTGTGTTCGATTTGGTAAATATCGTATGATTGAATATAACAGGTCCCAAAGGAATCCCTCATACCTTTTATCCATTCTCATAACATTTGTCAAAAGCAAATGTATATTTATTGCAAGATATTACAGACTGGTAACCGACGGGTCGTTTCCACTTTGATTGGTACACTCTAGATATTCAGCAAATTGAAAGCTAACGCAGTCTACTAGAAGGCTGAGGTTTCAATTATTGCCAATGACAAGATTGACATTTTCTGTTTCTCTCTCTCTGCTTTTTTTTTTTTTTTTTAATCTCAACTGTACTGTAAATGTATTTCCCTCGGGTTGATAAGAGTGCACCAATTCCTGTCAGAAAGTACTTCCGTATCTGTGACTTTATTCACACATTCTGTATTAATCCATTTTTTGAAAGTGGTTGCAGATAGCTTCCTGTGTTTACACGGTATAGAATATAGTGAATGGTCCAGCTGGTTGTTAATGTATCACATTAACAATGATGTCGTTGATTAAATTGCAGCACACATTACAGATAATATTCTGTCAGAGGCCTACTTAGATAATGTACGCATGGATAGTCTCTATTTTATAGTAGGCTTGCGATGCGTTTAATTTCATGTTTTTTGTTTTATATTATTTTTTCTCCGGCTAATGGTGTCTTTTTATCGACTTATAGATCTATTTTAATAACTTAAATGAAAAAAATAAATTTACTTTATAAACTGTTGCCAAAGACCATATCTTACTGCTTTATTTTAAACGTATTCTATAGTTGAAGGGTTTAAGAGTTTCAAAAGATCGAGATTTTATTTCGCGTTAATACATGTTTTGACACAACATCGGCTGTTCGTCAGCTTTTCTTTCTTGTAAATTATGTAAAACATTGTTTGAATGCCGACCTTGACATGCCGGGTCGCTAAACATAGTGAGGAATTATGACTAGCGACCGCGACCAAGCCCGAAAGATAAAGATACTCAGAATCTTATTAAACTATACGATTCTTCTTCGAAAAGTGCTTCGACTAATTCACATAATTTCATATCAGTCCAAAATTTACTTGGTAATGTTTACTTGATTTTTTAAAAAAAAATTGACATTTTCCACCATATACTTACCATCAAGGTCATGACGAGGCCGTGGGTTACCGAACCACTGACGTACGTCTGAGAGACGATGCCACGAAAAATGTAACCAACCAACAAAACATAAGAAAAGAAAACAAAGCCTAGTAGAGACTTCTCTAGGTTAGCTTTTATGATTGCTCACGGAGTCGTGAAGTAATGAAAGTGTTTTCCCTCAGTTATTTGTCGCAGTGTCCCATACGCTGTTGGTGTGGACTTTGGTTCTAACTGGACAGATCAAAGCCATTTTGTCGGCAGATGAGAAATACCGTACTGTCTACGATTAGAAATGACTAACAGAACATTTAAGGCTGACAGTGGAATTCAATCTAGGATTAAAGTTCACTAGCTTAATGCATAGCTTAAACTGCGTTTTGGTCTTAGAATGACAAGTGAACAGTAATCACTTGTAACAAAGTCAATTAAGAAAATTCAGTTTAAAAATCATCAAGCTTTTTCATCGTCACTCGTTGGTCTTCCACAGCCATTTCCCTTCGTTTCAGCGATATGGGGATCGAGAATGCGTCACACTTCGCTGCTAAACTTAAATTATTTAAGTTCAAATCAGTGTCCTATTCATTCGTAATATCTTAAGTCCTTGATTTAGGTTTGTATTATTTTTAATGTTATGTTTATTATTCATGTGGAGAAATAGGCTCGTTCAACTCATTAACATTCTTGAAATAATGCCGTCAAAATATTTGTGACGTCATCAAATCTTGAAAGGCGGCAAGCATGTAAAACAGTGGGTAGTGGGTGGGGTACAAGTACAATTTTCTTTACTTTTGACTCAGTATCCAGTATCAGATTTAGATATAAAACAAAACGTTATCTCTATTTATTTGTAAAATAATGTCTATGCTGTTTAATGCACGAACATGTAAATTGATGCTATCTATTCGACAACTGCACTTCTTGTTCAGTAGTATTCAAAATGAATACATCAGTCACATTTACATTTGAACTGTGTTAGATTTTCTAAAATATACTACAATGCCTTACTGTGACAATCTGATTATTATCTGGAAACGGCTGAACGGAGACACCGGATTCAGAACTTGCACATATTCTCTTTCCCCTGATATACGTTTAAAGTGTCTTCAAAAACCAAGATGGCGGGTATGCAAGTTAAATGAGCGAGCTTAATTTGTCGTATGTGTTTTATTTTTTTTTTTCCATTTCAAGACCAACCATCTTGCGCTTCAATTATAAATCTTGAAAACCACATGCCAGTCTAGATCTACATGTATATGGATGTTAAAAATGGACCGTTGAAATACCGCCTTACCGCAAGCACTGACATCTCTATCTAGAAGAACATGTACGTATCTATGTGCCGCAAGCATTATCAGTTGGTATGCGCGAACCAAGTTCGCCTACAATAAAAACAGCCATCGGACAATGAAGTACTAATATAAAAATAGCTTTGAGATAGGATTAGATCTTATATTCAATAGGTTTGTTTTTAAATATAAAAATGTGTTTTCACGTGAGTGATATTGTTTTAGTATGTACCGTTCATAATATATTTCATTGCTATAAGCGACCTTGAATACCTTAATGACTTAAGGGGCAATATGATACGCTGCAATGATTTAAAAACGAAGCTGCACATAAAAACTATTGCAAATGTATGTATACGTACTCATAAAGTAATATGCGTATGACTGTGTAGGATTGATAGATACCTGATAAATAGAATTGTGGACATGAGAACTATGCGGAGGAAAACACTGACCGTCGGCTTCGGAGGGACAGGATGTATAATTCTGTATTGGTATCTCAGTAAGTATTCACAGGTGGAGCCTGGAGGTATTTTGCACCAGAGAAAATGATTATTAGAAGGGTCACTGTATGATATACTAAAATCAAGAAATTCGAGCTTGAGCGATCGGCGGTAGTCTGAGGGGTTCTGACTATCTATCCGCGATTTTATCTTTAGCTAAAAAGAAATAAAATATCCTTGGCGCATTAGTTTCGGACCCCTTAAGAGAGAATAATTTTTCTCCAGCTACGCTATGTTGGTAAACTGTCACCAAACATATACATAAATGACTAGAAATGTGTTCATACTATAAGATTTATTTTAAAACTGATCGGTAAAATACCAGTATTTTTGTTAAAAATATATATGTGTGTATGTGTGTGTGTGTGTGTGTGTGTGTGTATCGCTCAGCAGAAATGATCGACATGTGTATTGGACATGTGACTGTCCTTCCGTTTTTTATGACATCACAAAATCACAGAGACGCTTGAGTTATATTAGCTTAGTATGATCCAGAAGTACGCATGTGCATAAAATCATCATTTGAACAAGAATGAAATTTTGATGACAATAAAAATGAAAATACATCTATGGTGTTGAAGTGGTTGATATCTGTGTTTATGTGTGCACCTTTTCTAAAGAGTTATATTCAAGTTTTTATTGTTTGATACTTTTTTCTCAAAGGAGCCATATTTCTTGGTAAACCTCTTTTTAATAACACAAACTGTTTGAATAAAGTCGACTTTTCAATCTCTTGGCCTACAACACCCTATTTAAATAAAATCGAAAATGAGTCGTAATTTGTAAATCATTATTTTTTTACAATAAGACTTGAAAGTGTGGACTTTCATAGCCAAAAAATTGCAAGAAGGCTTGGCCTATTATTCATGGTCGATTTTTATCCTCTTGACAGATGACAACAAAACATTGACATCTGAGGATGAATTGAAAGGCTATTGCTTGGAGGATGTTTAACATGTAAAACTGTGTTTTCAGAAAAAGTACACAAATTTGCCAAATGAAATATGTACTCATGATATTTTAGAGACTAACCTAATGATAAATCGGCAGATTAGAAATGTATTTTGTTTCCTTTCTTAGGAGACGAATGCCTATTTCTGAACAGATGGGCACTCATGTTCAAGTCAGTCTAGTTGACGTTACACTATGACAAATGAATTGATTTAGATATGTGGCTATGGCCTATGAATGATGATGATAAATTGAAATCAAACTCTGAAAGTTTAAAATGTCGACTGTAAAATAAACCAATCACTAAAGTACAGTTGCCTTTTTAATACATGCGTATGTTTAACTGTTGTTTGTAGGTGGTTCATATTTAAGCTTTTAATATTGTAGTGTTATAATATGGTTAGGGGTAAATCATACATCCTGTTCATCTCATTCAAGTGACAATTCACATCCCTTTCTGTGACACAAATGACAGTGGAAATAAGATTCTTCACCATAGAACATTGAGAAGGCAGTTTCAAATTTGGAATTTAAACCCATGCAATGAGGAATTTCGTTGAAACATTAATGACATGAGCTATATAAGGTAAAGAAAAAAAAAGGGGGCCTTTTCACAGAGATGTGTTCCTTTCTGGTCTTTATGGTTTATCCTTGCTGGTGTGACATGTCAATAGCTGCCGGTTGCATTAGGTTCCAAACCAGAGTTTTCTATAAACATAGTCACATGATTTTATTAGCGTAAGGCATCTTCAGTCTATGAAATACATAGTTTGAAGTGAGGGAGTTTCAAGTGTCAATATATTACTGTACTATGAAGAGATGATGTAGTGATGGAAATAAAGAAAAAAGATGTTATCACATATCAGACATAGATTTCTTTTATTTCAAACTTCACAAAGACATTTTTGTAGTGTTACTATACAGTCCATCACCTTGGTGGCTCATCTAGGCAAGATTCAATTTAAAACTTTGTGACACATGCTTTCAATATAAACAAATTATTTTAAGATGATTAAACAAAGTTGAAACAATCTGTGAGATTTAGAGCATTATAATTGTAATTGTGAAATAAGACAGTTTTATTTATTACAGATGCATGTACTATAGACAGGATGTAGCCAGGGCTATTCAAATTTCTTAAAGAAGAAATTACCGGTAGCAATAATTGGCAATATAATCTCAAACTGACTGGAAATATTGTAAACTGGAGAGTCTATATACGGCTTTATTGTTTGGCTATTTCCTATATGAACCGCAGGGCCAGAAGGATGCTTTTTTTGTATGCTATAATTTGTTAACAGTAACATCAAAATACAAGGGAGAAATTCATCATTCTTCAATAAGAATGCCAAATTCTGTCCCAAATTGGTCTGAATCATTTTTTGATGAATGGGAATCCATTTTGTATTAATGGCTGATTTTGGCCTCCTAAGGTATTCTGCCCCAATTTTGTCTGAAGCATCCTAGGGTGAAGGGGAATCATTTGTTTTTGTGAACAGTTAAGGCAGGGTCAAAAATGGTTAAAAGAGAATTTTTTTTAAATCCTTCTAGAGGAAAGTGTATGATGGATTCTGTCCCAAATTGATATTTTAGAAGTGACCATAATTTGTCATCTACCTTTAAAAGAATGAAATTTTGTTATTTCCCGACTGAAAGATAAATCAATGTTCCATTTTCAAATTATAAAGATTAATGGTTGATAATTTAATATCCAGTTTATCTTTTTTATTTCTATTTCTCATGGCGGCACTCACTGACGCGATCCATTTTACCGTAAGGCGTTATTTGATTATTGACATGGAATTATGTCTCAGCTAGTAACACTGAAATTCCATTGGGGTTCCTTAGCCTTGATCATATTAGATTGCAGATATTTTCTTATGCATTTGTTGGGAATTTCTTTATCTATTTCATTATACGCTATATCTTATATGTCTATTGCACAGCAATAGAGGTATAGTTTTTGAGGAGCTTGGAATAAAAAAAAATATGCAGTACATCTTTTTTTTTTTTATTGTGTGGTTAAATTTAACATTACATATAGAGGCCCAATAAAGGGTAACTTTGGCCAGTTTTTTTTTTTTTTTTTTTCGTTGTCTTTATTTGTTTAGACAAATAGTTAAAAAAATGAAGTTGCCATCTTTGTTCATTGTAAAGTATTTATATTTGTAAATATCTCAGATATATATTTATATATTCGGAAGATTTGTAAGAGTAAGTGAAATAAAAAGTCAGGAAAAAAAATCCATTGCAGGTAGCTTAATTATATGCCACTTTGAATACCTTAGTGTAATAATTCACACAACCTTTTGTTGACTCTGGTTATTTCACTAAAGGGAAACAAGAAAAAATCTTATGGACTAAATTAGGTCTGATGAATAAGGTGGGCATTAAATCTGAACTACTTTCTCTTGCTTCAACAATTAAGTCCTATATGTTTTTTGTGTCTGATTAAAGGATGGCTTTAAAACTTGACTTTGATCATTTTGACATATCTAAATCACTGGCCTTCTAGAATTGAAAAAAAATCATGATTCAAAACTTTCTTAACACATACAAATAGTACACCATTGTTTCATCCCCTTTAAGTAATTCAGAAATTTTTCTTAATTCTTAATATTATATATACAATACAATAAAGAATAAGAAAATCCAAAATGTTTGTTTTATCAATCTCTAAATTGTCTGCCTGTCTCACCTTTTAAATATGTACACCCTCCACAAGTAGATTATTTTACAAACTTGGAGTTATGGCCTGAGTAAATTTGAAGTCATTGCTATAATGAAAATGATAAAGAGAATATGAAGATATGCCATTCCATTTACTGGTCTCCATTGGGTATCTGAAGATTTTCTGACAAGTGAACAGGTATAGATAGGAATCACTGCATAACATATACATGCAGTATATATGTGATTTAAGAAATCTGTGGATTAAATACTTCATGTTGAAATAATTAAATTTGTAACCTGTTTATCCTGACACATTCAAATCTGACACATTCAGTAAATGTAATTTGATTTCACATAATAACTTTTATTGAATAGAGATTACAGGAATTCAGAAATGAAAATTTTTACCTTTTGGCTAATTTCATTTCTTTTCAATATTATACAAATGTATAACATCTAGAAATGCAAATAAGATTTTTTGAATGCAATTATTTAAAAACGCAAAATTGAAAATTTTAGACTATTGGTCCTTAGATCATTTTCATCCATGATAATTGTAAATTGATGATTAAAATTCATTGTTTCAGATGTGTATTTGAATGACCTACCACAGACTCAAAAGACACGCCTGACCCCTCACCTGCATCACAGGGAGGAAGACTTATCACCCTCATCACTGGAGAATGACTTCATCAAAAAGGTACCACAACGTTTACCAGGATCAAGAGGTAGGGGAACATGGCCAGTGGTAACATATACAGACAGAACTGTACAGCTTTCGCTAATCTCAAGAAATGAACATGTTGCCTTGGATGGCAGATTAAAGGAATATTGTAACCCTCCTTCTGTTGACATGAAGGGAAACGAGGAAGGTAAGATATAGAGACTGAGCTGAAGACTCTGTATGTTTGTACTCTCTTTTGGATTATTGTACAATCAATGCTCATAAAGGGTTTGGACTTATTGATTGAAAATAAACACCATCATTTATAAAGTTTCAGCGAAACTCTTTGTGATGGTATATTGACAAGCTGTAATGTCAATCTATATACTAGTGACAGGAATTGATTTCTATTTAATAATAAATGATCAAAAACAGATGATTGATTATGGTTTGTAATCAATTTCTCATATTAACTGCAAAATAGTTATTTGTGCATGTCTTTGTTTGAAAAAAAAATATAAAAATCTGAGGTCAACCTATTTATATGAATTAGTATATCTAGAAGCTTATACTAGCCTTTTTAGACATCTTCAAGTAAATTACTTCAAATAAATAAGCGCTTTCCGCATTCGGTTGTTATTATTAGCAAATATGAAGTGAAAGAAGAAACTTAGTGAGACATCTTGCTTTTCTCATTGTTGACATAAATGAATTCATAAAACAATGAGAAATGATCTTGCACTTGAACTGAACATTTCTACTGAAAAAGTAAGCTTGTAACTTAAAATTGCCTGGTTTATGCCAAAATCAGTATTTGTAGCTAAAGATGTTTTGGGCATACCAGGATACACTTATTTATGTGTTATACACTCTCCTTTTCAGCATTGCTTACATAACATGTTACGTAATTACAGACTTGTATTTAGTACAGTTTCGAAGAAATTGTCAGATTTTATATATGTGAGCAGAACATCTCAACATCAAAAAACAATTTGTGATTGTACATGTGTAAATCAGAAAAAGTACATGTGTAAATCAGAAAAAAGTACATATGTAAATCAGAAAAAGTACATGTGTAAATCAGAAAAAGTACATATGTAAATCAGAAAAAAGTACATGTGTAAATCAGAAAAAGTACATGTGTAAATCAGAAAAAAGTACATGTGTAAATCAGAAAAAGTACATGTGTAAATCAGAAAAAAGAACATGTGTAAATCAGAAAAAAGAACATGTGTAAATCAGAAAAAAGTACATGTGTACATCAGAAAAAAGTACACGTGTAAATCAGAAAAAAGTACATGTGTACATCAGAAAAAAGTACACGTGTAAATCAGAAAAAGTACATGTGTACATCAGAAAAAGAACATGTGTAAATCAGAAAAAAGTACATGTGTAAATCAGAAAAAAGTACATGTGTACATCAGAAAAAAACGTGTAAATCAGAAAAAGTACATGTGTAAATCAGCAAAAAGTACATGTGTACATCAGAAAAAAGTACACGTGTAAATCAGAAAAAGCACATGTGTAAATCAGAAAAAAGAACATGTGTAAATCAGAAAAAAGTACATGTGTAAATCAGAAAAAATACATGTGTAAATCAGAAAAAAGTACATGTGTAAATCAGAAAAAGTACATGTGTAAATCAGAAAAAGTACATGTGTAAATCAGAAAAAGCACATGTGTAAATCAGAAAAAAAATGTCATGTAGTTCCTTACATATACATTCTAAATATACAGATTATACAGAAAGCTGAAATCAACAGTCCTCTTTAGTTTCAATGCAGAAAAAGGCTTCACATATTCTTGGTATAAGAAGAATTCTAATAGAGCAAAGGGAGATAACAAGTACAGTACATTTTATTGTTAAATATTCTTTGATGCAATTTGTTATTTATCAAATGACAAACTTTTTTTTCTTTTTCAGGAAATGTAGGAGAAGAATTTCAATTGAGGTCTGTACATGTTATCATTCGTCATGGCGACCGGTCCCCAATACACAGTATTATTAATCATCCTAACACAAAGCTGAAATGCAAATTTGACTCGGGATTCTTGATGAAGGATGAAATACTCAGTAGCTATCTATATAAACTACAGAAAACTGAAACCAACTTCCATCCCAAAAGTGATTTCAGAAACTGGGAATTGTACCCAAACAAAGAATTTTGTGATGGTGCTCAACTGACGCCTTTAGGTGCTTTACAGCATTTGAAAATTGGACAATTTCTCCAAGAAAAGTATTTTTCAAAGGTATTTAAGGGGAATTTTTCATACACAGATATACACATTAAGAGTACAGAATATTCTAGAACTTTCCAAAGTGCTGTTGCACTACTATATGGCTTCTTACCTGATTTTGATCTGCAGAAAATCCAAATGCACTTGTCTCCAGACTTATTGTTTTGTTCTTCGGACATAACTGGACTTACATGTCGATGTCCTTTAGCTCAGATATTTAAAGTACAAGCCAATGTTATTGCAGGAAGTCACAATCGTAATGATTCTGAACACAAGCTATTAGTAAAGCAAATAGCAACTGTTTATGATATAAAACCACATCAAGTGCCATGGCTGGCGGCTGTCATGGATATCCTAATGACACAGGTTTGCCACCATGTATCTCTGCATTGCAACAAAAGAAAGGAATGTATTGATAAAAAATTGCTCAATAGAATGTGGAAAACTGTAGATTCAGATGGTGTGAAGTTTAAATCACAAAATGAACAATACTTAAAATTTGCACATTTAGCATTACATCCGTTGTTATCTGAAATTCTGATACGCATGAAAGATACTATTCTTTTGAAAAATTCTCATAAATTTATACTTTATTCAGGACATGACATATCATTAACACCATTACTGGCTATGTTGGGTCTTCATTTGAATGGAAAATGGCCACCTTATGCTTCAAGAGTTGTGTTTGAACTTTATACAAAGAGTGCACATAGAAATCCAAATCAGGGATTCATTCGTGTTTTGTACAATGGAAAAGATAGGACAGAAGATTTACCATTTTGTAGGAAACTGCATCATGGATTATGTCGATTGTATCATTTTAAAGACTTCTTAGATAATCATTTAAAAATTTTTAATATTACCGACTTTAATACTCAGTGTGCTAACACAAAAAAATAATAAATTTGATAAAAAATATTTGAGGATTTTGTTTTATTTAAGAAATGTCAGAAATAAATTGATTAAGTTGAATGATTTGACCCAAGACTGGATCCTTGAAGTTTTCATAATATAAACTCGGGGTTATATATTTTTTTCATACATTTCAAAGTCTCAAATATTTCTTAGAGCTTTGTTTATTTCAATGCACCAATTGATTGCGAGAATCAGTGGTTTACAAATGCAAGTTGCTTACTTTAAAGACCAGGTTACCGGTACTGTAAATATGTATTTGTTAACCTTTCAGGTGTCTCAGGGATAATAGTATTTTCATTGAATTATTCTTTTTATTATTGGTTCTGCTGCATGCTAGGAATTAATCGCTGAATTTTATTCAAATAATTGACCTTTAATTACTTTCAAGGTCCTGGGGGTCAAAACATCTTTAAATTTTGAAACAGTTTTCAGTTACATGTTTGGCCTGGAGCATGTTGAGATGAGATTTATTGAGATACCTGGAGTAAATGACATTGATCCGCTCTCAGCATCAGGAAGCAAACATGTTGAGAAATCTTCAAACCGCTTTTAAAGAGTCCAAAGGCTAAGTTGCTGATAATTGTTCTGTAATGCTGAGGTGAAATGCTACCGACAATTTGTTGACCTTAATCAATTTTCATGATCACGGGTACACTATGTAAAAATATTTAGCGACTTCTCGATAGCTGCATGGCTCAGGATGCTGATATTGATCATGTTGTATTATGGTCTCAAGGGCAAAACAAAAAAGTTGTTCAAATAAAGGACATTGACTCGCTTTCGAGGTCATGTGTGTTAAATGGGTTTAAATATTTAAATGTCATCAGATATTTAATCCGAAATGTCTATGTTGCTGATACTTAATGCAGAGAGATACGGCTCCCAAGTTTATTCGAGTTATTGACATTGATCCGCTTTCAACGTTAAGGACTCAAACGTGTTTTATTCTTTCCAACAAGCAATCAGTCCTTGGTCATGATATTTTTATAGCAGAATGTTTGAAGTATATACTTTTAAGTTTTATTAGACCACCATCATCAGATGGTGGGGTATTCAAATCGCCCTGCGTCCGTGGTCCATGGTCCGTCCTTCCGTAAACGATTCTTGTTACCGCTATTTCTGGGAAAGTACTGGATGGATCTGTCTCAAATTTCATATGCAGTTTCCCCTTGGTCCCTAGTTGTGCATTGTTCCTTTTTTGGACTGATTCGAATTCAAGATGGCTGACAGACGGCCATCTTGGATTTTGGAAGTAAAAGTTTGTTATCGCTATTTCTTGGAAAGTACTAGATGGATCTTTTTCAAATTTCATTTGCAGGTTCCCCTTGGTCCCTTATTGTGCATTGTACCTTTTTGGACTGATCTAAAATCAAGATGGCTGACAGGCAGCCATCTTAGATTTTAAGAATAAATTATAAAAAAATCATTGGTACTGGTTTCCCTTGGTCCCTAGTTGTGCACTGTACTTTTTTGGACTGATTTGAAATCATGGTGGCCCGCAGGCAGCCATCTTGGATGTCGACAGTAATACAGCACAAGCATATTTTCTTCGATATTCTATCATATTGATTCAAGACCATGTCCATTATCCACCTGTAACTGACTGCTATCTAATAATACTTTGGGATCTTTTTCAAATGATATTTGCTAATAGGTGCTTAGTAAAAATATCTTGTGCCATCATTGAGTACATTCAATGAAGATCAGTTCATGAACATTTACAAAACCTGTAACACACAAAAAAAAATAAACAAATCTTCAAGAACTGAAAACAGATCCTCAAATGGTGGGCGCCAAGATCCCTCTGGGATCTCTTGTTCACTGTAGGAACCTACTTAGTCTTCTGTGAAAGTCTGGTATGCCTATTGTCATTAATGGGTTATCCTCTAGTCTGGTTGTCTTGGTGAAATGTCGGAAAAGTAGAAAACCTCGGACACAAAGAAATGAAAGTATGTTCTTATATCCATTTGCGCTTGTATGAATGGTAACATATCTGATCAAAATAAGACAACTCTGTAAGAATAATAAAATCCTTTCATATCGTTGTCTTACTATATTATATATAAAATATTATGTAAAATATTAACATCATTCTATGATCCACCACTTATGTACACTTTGTTATACTGTAAAATTATCAACATTTATCTGTATTTCATTTCGTGGACATATTCATTTGTCGATTTAGAGTAGCCACGAACGCAAAGAAAATAACTCCACTCGAAAATAAATGAGTATACAGTATTAAGATAAATATACAAAGCTTGGTTAAAACCATCTTTTCTGATTATGAGTTAAAAAAGAACTTGTCTTATTACAGCTGAAAATATGCATGATGATGTGTCATTTCATCTAACCGAATGAATCTGCTATACAACTTGACGACCAAATAACAGATTCTTTTTCTGTGACGTCAGCTTGGTTTAATTGTCCACTAAGTTGATGATGTGAATCTTGCACCAAATACTCACAAGGGACTAACATTTTTAAATACAAATATAGAATAATATACAACAGATAAAAGCAATACGTTAGACTGCATCAAATAGTTGTTTTGTCCTTCAAGAACTCGTCAGGGATATTAAAGTCCCTGAGAAAACCCTGGATTTCATATATAACATCATTGCAGTTTTATTTCTAAGTGACTTTTTGAAACTTTCGTTATTTTTACCTAGACGATAATTCAGCATTTAATACCACGATACATAAGGACATGTATTGCTGTCACTTTTTAACGAAAATACTGTTTCTGTTTTCATAGGAATAAGTATCGTTTGCTCTTGGAAATGTTTCTACATCTGTGCTGGATAATGTATTATAATGGTCTCAAACATATGATATAATATCTGATGCTCAATTTGGAATTAGACCTGGTCTTAGAACAGTCGATGCTTTTATTAAGTCTTTATTCCTTAATATCTAAGTCTTTAAAAACAATAGATTATACTGTTGCTTTGTCGATGTTCGCAATTTTTTTGATAAAGTTAATAGAGTAAATCTCTGGTATAAACTCTCAAAGCTTGGATTAAGAGAAATCTCACGGTTAGCCTATATAAATGTTTTCTGTAAAGTTGGAAGATTACATGGTAATGAGAAATGCTTTTACAAGGGCCGTTCGGTTTCTTGTGATGATCAGTTTTCATATTTAGGAATTTTACTGAAATATAATAACAAATTATGTTGTATCCAGAAGTAATTGGCTGTACCAGGACTTTGTTTGCTTTACTTTCCAAGTGCTTTTGTCTAACCTTGATATAAAAACCACGTTTAATTTATTTGATACTTATGTGGGTAGTATTCTTTATTATGCAAGAGAAATGTGGGGTTCGTGTAAAGGGCCTGATGTAGAACATGTGCTTTCAGATTTAAAAAAAACTGATAAAAGCAAAGAAGTCATCGTGTAATAGTTTGGTTTATTCTGAATTGGGACAGTTTCTTTCGGAATTTTTAGAAAATATAGAAAGCGGAATTACTGTTTTAAAATATGATTTTCTGATAGCTGTATTTGTATCCAAATCATATAATTTTTTGTTAAACCTGTGTAACAGAAATGTTTTCATATGAGTCACTTCTGTTAAGGAAGAATTATATAATTAATATTTTACTGATATTTGGATAAATCCTGATAGTGTTATTCGACCAAACTTAATTTTATTGGAGATTTAGCAAAAATATAGAAAGATAATTTATACGTTTAAAATGAGACTTTCTGATAGCTGTACTATATCAAAATCATAAAATTTTCTGTTATACCTGTGTAACAGAAATGTTTTCAATTGGGTCTTTTCTGTATAACAACAGTCTTCATTCTCTACATTGAGTAAAAATGTTAGCTTTGGAAATCCCAGTCCTTGAGTTGTAATATGTGTTTTCAAGTCTACTTTCCGAATCATGAGCGATCCTGTTTCAATCAAGATTCTGTCGACATGTATTTTATTTGCTTTTTTACGTAAAATATTTTGATGTTATAGCACGCTTAGAAAACAACAAGAGGTAGTAAAGAACTATTTTATTTTAGAACAATAATACAACATATAAATCATGCCATCCTTTCATAGGGCCAATTCTACGTAAGCTGATTGAAAAATTGATGTTGTAATTAGCTGTTATTTTCCAATAACAATGTCAGGTAGGTGGTGTTGAATTAAATCGGGAAGCTTTTTCAGCCAAATGTCGACTCTAGATTGGTACAGATGTTGGTCTTGTGTAATGCTGGTATCCAGATTGACATAAGTTTGTCTGACTTCGTCATAGGCATCCCATCTGGGTAAGTCATCAGAGTTTGGATTGCTAAAGGAAATAAAACAATACTACTTTGTATTTACTTAGTTAATGAAGTATTATTTTGAATGAAAAATCACTTACTTATTCTATGTAGGGTCGTCAAATTGATTTCAAACCAAACTTATTATTTCAAGTTTGTTTCCATATACGGAAACAGGACATTCTATATTAGTTTGCGATTAAAAAAAAAAAAAAAAAAAAATTCTTTCGTTTTTTGTTTTTTGTGTGTGTTTTTATGGGTTTCCTTTCAAATTCTGCACTTTTATAGTGTTGTCGAGATTCAAATATTGTCGAATGAAAAAGATGAAAAACTTTCATTGTATCGTTTTAACAAACTATGGATATATCGTAATTTGGTTATATCTCCTAATTATCAATAGAACTGATCTTTCCTCCAAGTACATCATTCACTTCAATCGTGCTCAAACCTAACACGTGCTTGTCACTGACTAATTTAATTAAACCATATGTAGTTTCAATCAATTTTTCTTGTCTCCGATGGTTAAATTTTCTGATCATTTTTCTCAGAATTGAATTTTTGAAAAAGTTTCAAGCATTTTGTTTATAAAAATAATTACGATTTATTCCATTCGCGTAAATTGCGAAGAAAACAAATACAATATCCTTTTTGTATTTAAGAGGTCTTAGGTTTTCAGAAATAAATGACAAGATTAATATTTGTATGTTTCTTCACTAGATTTCAGACATATGTAAAACTCCTTTTCTACAAAAGTCAGGCATATAACTTTTAATGAAAACACACCGAACCATCGTGTAAGATCTACGATGATCTGAAATCCCTGATGATGAATTCATTTATTAGCGAAATATATTAGGTACCCTATGGATATAAATGTCAAAGAATCTAATAGATAATTGGATAGGACAAATATTGTCACAACCTGATGTCTAAATTTACTTGTACAATATTAATTAATTGAAATGAAAATATCTCAATTATATGGATGTAATTGGGTAAAATGGAAAAAAGAATCGTTTTCTGTTTTGTGAGGTAACGTTACCCGGTTTTTGCAAAGTTTGTCCAATATCTCATCATGGTGTTTGATAAACTGATGTCAGTAGACCTGACCGTTATGTTATATCGGTCTTGGTAGTCTTCCAATCCGAACAGGTAGGCGTTGTCCGATCCATGGGTTGATCCATTTGTCCATAAATCATATTTGTGTCTGATAGCCGGATCGATACATGGACGGCGAAAAAGAAACTGAAATGAATTTGTCAAATAATTATCCTTTGAATGCACTATGAGACTCTTCACGGCTGGTGCTATGAAATTCGCATCTGCATAAGAGTTCATGGCGTTATTCATCTGGTTTGTTTGACCGGAGGATCCATAAAGAGAGCATAAAAAATCGGATGATATAGAATCATTCACTTTTCCAAAATAATATGTGGTTAATCCTGGCAAATAATATTCACAGAACGTTGTTAACGATATCCCATTAGACAAAACACCATAGAGTTTTGCGTATAAACCAATGATATCTACAGAAATTGAACCCTCGGTATCTACATTTCCCGTCATATAGTCAAGGGAACGGAAGAATCGATAGTTTGGAGAAGTCTTGTTCATCAGTAATCGAGTTGGATCCATATAAAGAAAATCATGATCCACCACAGGTCCAGAGGGGATCTCGAAGAAATCCTTTAAGAAAAGTGGTGATGAAAGTACACGAGTATAATTAACTATTTCTGAAGCCGATCTACTCCGTATACATTTTATAGTATTATTCTGACAATCTAACAATCTTATCATTGCTTCTGAAGTGTAAGCTGCACTGTGCCATATTGCAAGTGGACCTTCAGAGCTACCACTTTGAGCGATAACTCGATGAAACAGACCTTTATTATCAGGTATAATGGCATGCAGCGATACTGAGAAGCCCCCAGCTGATTGTCCAAATATTGTTACAGAATTTGGATTCCCACCGAAAGACGCAATGTTGGACTGTACCCATTCTAAAGCTAGACGTTGGTCCCAAAGGCCATAGTTTCCTGAAATTCCATTTGTTGGAGAAACGGTAAAGCCAAAAGGCCCCAACCTATAGTTGAGTGTAACAACAACTACGTCTCCAGTCAGCGCCAGGTACGAACCGTCATATAGTGATCCCTGTCCTATTAAATAGCTTCCTCCATGTATCCAAACCATGACAGATCGATTGGCATTCGCAGAAATGTTCCTTGCAACATAAACGTTTAATGACAAACAGTCTTCAGACATGTCTAGATTAGGCTTGTATTTATCATATACATAATTTCTATATGATGGCTGCATGCATGAAGGCCCGAATTTAGTCGCATTAAGAACACCCGACCAGGAACCGAACGGTATCGGCTTGGAGAGTCTTAAGTGTCCTGTTGGTGGCTGAGCGTACGGAATATTTCTAAACTGGTAAACTTTTTCATGTCTGATGATTTCCTCTACACCTTCCATTTCACCAAGAGGAGTGACCACACGTGAATTCATTTGACAGGTTATAGTCGATAAAATGGCGACGAAAAGAAAGAAGACCGTGTGGATTTCACGCTTAGCGAAACTGGAACGAAATGAAGTCTGTGTACTTCATCAACTAAATAAACAGAAAGAGTCACATAGACAGACGTGCATTTGGCTTTGAATTAAGTTCTATTTATAACTTTAAATAAACTCGTTCGGTTTTAAGGTATCCGCGACAAAGACAATGTGCACTATTCTATCATATTTAATTGTTATCGATTACGCTAGTTTGCCCATAGTTAGCTTATCGACAGAAAATTGAATCAAAACGTATTGATTATCTGAATTAAACATATTTTATTGTAAATTATTTACAAAAGGATCTGGCACAAGTTATTTCAACTTATAGTTGCCATTTCCTCAATACGTTACAAAACAAAAACATAATATCAAGTCATCAATAATTTACATAAATATTGGCTGATATAAAAGCTTACCTGAGTCGAAACATTTCGTGAAACAATTAAACTAGGAAAGGGAAGACTTCGAACGACTATTCCAATTCTGAAACACAACTCATTTGTCTTATTGTATGCGATAACGTTTTCAGGCTCTCCATGTGGTGCTCCGAATGGCATACTAAGTGAACCTGGCATGATAAGAATTGTGATCTATATAGTTAACTATTATGATTACTTTGTGATTATTTTTATACGTAGACATTGACGTCAGATGAAGTAGCAAACTGATAACAATGTCATAGTTTTATTGTTGTTTTGGTCAGCATTGTCGAGATATTATTTTTTCGTTAACATTTACTAACGAAGTTCAGTAAATGTGTATTACGGTAAAATCATATATTCTTCCTGGATAAATCTTACTCCCAAAATCCAATAGTACAAGAATCCATGTCGAATTTCATCTGCTCATTTTATGACTGCTTTTTAAGACTGAGGCCGTTATATGTGTTAATTTCACGTATAATTTTGTGGATATAGAGTACCTATGAGTTCAACGAAAATAAATCCCCCACAGAAATATGATTATACTTGAATGTGTAAATAGTTTTGACGACTTGACATGATCCGAAACAAAAGCTGAAACTTTTGCGATCCCTAAACTCGAAATTTGCATATTTCTCTTCTTACTGTTCACTGCAATTTTGCAAACAATGAAAGTATTTCTGGATCTTTGAATAAATAAAATTAACGGATAAAGTCAAATGACAAAAATAAGACTTTCCTGGAAACTATATCGTCAAAATAATTCTATACAAATTCAAAATAAGCGGGAAAAGGCCATCATGCTCTAGACTGGATCTGATTATTCACTAGTTAAGAGATAAGAGGAGATAATTCTACTTGATTATGGACCTTTTTAAATTTATTCCACTAAAAGTAACATGTCAGTATAATGCCAACATGATAATTATGAAATGACGATTGATCATTCTCAAATACATCACATGATTAAACCGTTCCTCAAAAGGGAGTAAGATGCTATCAAAAGTAGATAACATTATATATTACTGTTAAAAAACAAGAAAATACCACTATGTCAACGTTTTCATAATCATAAATAACTCAAGCGATCTGTTTCACGTTATATGTAATTTTGCCAACATCCAATTTAATCTTTATTGTGTGTTATTTGTAGTGCCCCAGTAAAGAATGTATTTTTATAATAAAAAATAACCTTTGATCTGTACTATAACCAATTTTATTATCCTTGTCATGAGTGTGAGCCAGGTTGCACAATTTTCCCCAGAACCTTTTCATAAACCTATAATTTTTCATTCAGTTGGGTAAAATCCTCTTCATAAAAGTTTGCTGGATGTTTTATAAAGCTAAGTGTTACAAATATAAAAGTATAACTTGGACAAAAATCATAACTTTTCATGGTAAAGTTCAAGAAATGGAAAACTGTTTGAAGGTATCCGAAGATGAGACAAAGGCTTCTTTGAGTTCTTTAGAATCCACATACTTTTAATACACTCAGTCAATATCACAATAAGACAGTAACCCAAATTAGATGTTACTGAAAATGGTAATAAGTAGTTTTGAAAAACATTTGGTTGACTAGTTAGACCAACCAACAATACAAAATTGTTAAGATAGGTTCTTGTGAAGTGTCAGAATTGAATATATAACCTGATGTCCGTATCCGTATCATTAACAGGCAATCTAAATTCACGGTTAGTTAGTATTTCATATTTGGTTAGGTTGCATAATTTATAGGTGATGTTTTCTTCATTATCAAGCAAGCCAGATTCGTTTTGTATACAGGGAATGTAATGCCTGCAGACAGGGATCAAGTTATAGGAGACCTAATATGCAGGCACAATGACATACTGTCAATCTTCTATGAATTGAACTTCTATTATTATTATATCAAAGTTTTTGTCCGGTCCGAATTTTATTTCTATATACTACTACTGACTTACACTTGGTGAATCGAAGTTTTATAAATAGAACTTTTCGGTGTGAAGAAGGTTTTTTCACGGACCGAAAGCTATAAAACAACACAGTCATTGACACTCCATGATTCGACTTAGTGAGAAATATGCTTTTTCTTTGTACGTCATGAAGCATGGGGTTGGTGACATTAACCAGAGGTGCGGACCGCGCATTGGTCATGTATATGTCATTTAATGATGTACAATCTGGTATAGCGACACCGAACCAAACTTTATACTGCTTTCTTATATGATAAACAAACATCTTGAAATATTTAACTGCACGTTATCCGCCCGATACCCGACGAACAGCTGGAAATAATTATTACAGTTTACAAATGTGCAGTTGTTATACATTTAGAATTACACATCATTTTTTTTTTTTTTTTTTAATAATGTGGTATACAACACGGAACCAGAATTTATACTGCTTTGCCTCCTAATACCACAAACAAACATCTGTTAATCATTTAAGTCCACGTTATCCGCCCGATACACGATGAACAGCTGGAAATAATGATTACGGCATACATGTGTGCACACATCGCTTTATGTTTACATTTAACGGTACAATGACGGACGATTTTATTTTGCATTTTCATTTTTGGTAAATAGTACAAAATTGTCCTCTGTCCATTAATATCGGCTTACTATTGACAAGTATTAAGATTAGGTTAACATGTTATGGCTAATTGTTGTCCCTTACAATAAAATTCGCTCTACATTCCAATGTAGAGAGAAAGATGAAACCCAAAGGACAAAATTCTCTCCGCTACCACGACCTTAACTATGAAGATTGTTACCATCACAATAAAGTCAATTTCTAAATAACTGACGCTTAAGGCATGTCTTCACACTACCCTGTTAAACTATCGTCTCGAATTCCACAAACCACACATGTGCCCCGCCAATTTGTTACACTTGCTTGGGACGAGACTTACAAGTACATTCGGTACAAAACACGAACGGAAGATCCGGAACCAAAGACTTGAACATTTCCTGTCGAATATGAATTTAAAACTTGCTTTGATTTACGTACATTATTGTATGGAGATATCCGGATTTGGTAATTTAACTATAATTCTTTTTAAGATTGTTGTCTTCCAAAACGATATATACGACTAAATAACATAGTCCTGAATGCATGTTAATAACCTGTATTTTCATTATTCTTAGAATTCAATGGCAAAAGATTAAAAAAAAAAAAAAAAAAACACACACACACACACACACACACACACACACACACACACACACGTGTACGAAAGCTTGATACAAACTCAAAAAAGATTACTAGAGCAAAATATGACCGATAGTAAAATTGACACGAAGACACGAAAAAATACAACGAGAATAACCATTTGAGACCATTTGTTCTGAAAGAGTAAGCACCTTCTGCTTCTTCAACGACACACAACTCAATTTTAGTCTATCCAATTAAAATATCTTCACTAAAAGCTTCGATCTCATCGTTCAAGGAAATGGAATATTCCCAAATGAGACCAGGATAGTGACCAGAAAGCGTAAATCTTTATCAACCCCTACCTTTTCTCTCAGCTGTCGACAGCTTTCTAAAAACCCGTGATATTTGGAACAAAGGCTTGAACATCAACTCAAACATGTAAATACTGTAGGTTGTATCAATTGTCAATTCTGAAAATAGACATTTTACTTTAGGGCACTCGAGCATTCATACCATTCTCTGTTGGTTGCAATTTAGGAAAAGGGCCAGGCAGGCAAGTGGCTGATGAAGAAGATTCTGTCTTGCCCTTGTTTTCAAACTCTAGTGGGTTTTTTCACAATAAATGGGCAATATTATTATATATAATTCTTCGCCACACGTACGATATTGACTAAACAAGTGTTAAATTACATATACATACAACAACATCGAACTAATTACAATTGCTTGCCAATGTCAGAATTTTCGTTAAGATATTGAATTTAGTAGATAAACTTACCAAAGATTCCTAAGATCTAACTTAGTGGAGACTATCAAAGATGTAAACAGTCGTCACTATGGTTTCAATGGAAAAGCATTCCATTTCTCTGTGTGATATGAATAATTTCCAATAGTATGTCAGTTACTGTTGAGAACGTCACATTACGCCATTGCTTTGACCAAGATAAAGATGCATGTGCCGTACTTTTTTACCATTCCGAAACTCTTAATGCTATTTTTTTATAATATACGTGTCAATCTAACTTTTGTCTATATATTGCTATAGATCAGCTATTTTGAATTTGATGTACTATACTTACTGTACTGTATTTATCTATATGTTTTTTTTAATCACGCCTATGTGAGAACAAGATGTCTGTTAATGAGCTGCGTTTATTTTAATGTTTAAAATAGTTAATCTAAGATCTTTATTCGAAAACCATTCTAAATCTACCAGCTTTTTCTTTTCTTTTGTATTATAAGCCACTGAGGCCGATATCCCTCATTAATTTTTCTTTACATCCCTGTTTTAATCACCTTTTTGAATACAAGCTCACCCACTCGAAGACCAGGACACAAGTCACATCTAATTGCAGATTTTTATTGATAATGTATAATAAAGTATTGTCTTGGTAAATAATGTACGTCATCAAGAGGACAATGGGTTTTGTTATTGTCTATGAACGTGAATTGTTAGAAATGGCAACATCACATTGTTTTATTATGTAGGCTTCATTGTTATAAAAACAAAACTTTCCTATAAAGCAGAGACGTTCTCCTTTTCTGTTTATTTGGATATTATCCAATCATTATGCTACCCACATACTTTGTTTAGAGATGCTGACCACATCCCGGACGTCGCCTGGTCCCATACTATAAAATGCACAGCAGCAAGGCCAACTAGCATACCAGTTTAAGAAGGGCAAAGTTGTTACTGACAGTCTAAATCCTATTGCAAAGATGAGTGCAGAAGACGCTATAGGACCACATGTAAGTAGACAATACATTTTTTTCTGAATAATTCTTATAAAAGAAACGACTTTTTTAATAACTTTTGGGGCATTTTCGAAATACATTTATGATACTACCATTAACAATGTAAATAGACGATAATTAATAAGTAAACAATTCTTCCTTTTCATGGTCTCCAGTATAGAGAGCAAGAAAATAACTTTTATAAAGCATGGTATCGAAGAACTTATTCATGATTTAGAACAACTATTTAGTATTTAGTTTTACTTTAACTTTCAGTTCGATGTTTTACTCTGTTGATTATATACTTTTTTTTACAATTCATTGATTCATTCTACCAAAAACCGCATTGATCAGAGGGCATAACAGGTATGCGTCATACAATGTACATAAACTCTTTGGTAATAATAATTTTACGCATTACGAAACAAAATATTGAGTAGAAACATATAATCTAGAATGTTTTATTTATAGTGCATGCTAATCCGTTACTCCTGATTTATCGCTACATTGTTTCATAAGCATTTGTATTTGTTGTTTGTTTGAAGATCACTCTTTTCAATAAGCCTGAGTTTAATGGAGCTCTAATGGAATGTCGAGGGCCCATATATACTTTAGCAAACACTGGAATGGACAAAATCGGCTCCGTGGATGTCAAACGTGGAGTGTGAGTACAAAATACAAATGTCACGAATCTGTTATACAAGTAATTATCAGTTGTATAGTATAATGTTCTGTTTTAATTCTGCCGTTATGTTTCAAATTTAATTCTAAATGTTCCTTTAGCCATTCTGAAACTTTGTTCCCTTTGACGATAAAAGACCGTAAGATACACAGATAAAATAAAAAATAAAGAACAAAATATCTTATTACCATGATTTTCAAAATGGACTTTTATAAACGTCCGATGATCAGAAATTGACAATATTTTTTGTTTATTTGTAATCATATGATATTTCGTTGTTATTTTACAGTTTTGCTTTACAGTATCTATTATTGCGCCATGTTTAGTTTAACATAAGTCTATCTAGTGCATAAACCTAAAGTATTTCTTCTTAAGAGTTTAGAGTATCTATAGTGCGAATGGATCACATTGCCATCTGTATTTTAGTATTTGCTTCCACCAATTTTGATTCATTTCTTAACTCGCCCTATTCATTGACAAGTCCAGAATGGATGAAATACATGTTGTACTGGTTAAGATAACGACGTGATCTATATCGTGGCGAGGTTAATACAATTAATCGGGATTGTACCATGGCGAGGTTAATACATTGAATGAGGTTTATATCGGGGCGAGGTCAATACAATTAATCGGGATTGTACCATGGCGAGGTTAATACATTGAATGAGGTTTATATCGGGGCGAGGTCGATACAATTAATCGGGATTGTACCATGGCGAGGTTAATACATTGAATGAGGTTTATATCGGGGCGAGGTCGATACAATTAATCGGGATTGTACCATGGCGAGGTTAATACATTGAATGAGGTTTATATCGGGGCGAGGTCAATACAATTAATCGGGATTGTACCATGGCGAGGTTAATACATTGAATGAGGTTTATATCGGGGCGAGGTCAATACAATAAATAAGGTCTATATAATGATGAGGATTATACAATAAATAAGGTTTATACAATAACGAGGCTTATACAATGGATGAGTTCTATACAATGTCGAGGTTAATACTATTATAAAGGTCTATACAGTGTTGAGGTTATTACAATAATTAAAGTCTATACAATGTCGAGGTTAATAAATAAATATATTCTATAAAATGGCGAGGTTAGTACAATAAATAAGGTCTATACAATTAATAGCTTTATGTCAAACTTAATGAGTAAAGAAACATATATTCATAAGGGAAACAACTCTAAAAATACTGATATAAGATGTAGGTCGCACTGATCATCGAGAAAGGAAACTCAAACAAAAAATCCTCTGTACCAACTTGATATAATTTATAGATGGATTCTGTACGAAGAGGTGAACTTTGGTGGAGACATCTATGTGATCTGGGAAGGACAGAGTCTTAAAGATATATCAGGAAAAAAGTATTCCTCTTTGAAGGCAATTGAAGCGGTAAGCAAATATTCACTCTGTAAATTTGAGCTTCAGTGATAGCGTTTCTATTCACCAAGGGAATGTTAGTTTCATGATCAAGGGTATTGTAATGTTTGTGTTGTGTATATTTTTAACTGTGACCTCCAGAGAATGGATGATACAAAGGAAATTTCTACAGCAATTATCACTCATAAAAACCTTAAAATGAATGAGCAATGAAAATTCACCAGCAGCTAACGAAATAAAACTTTAGCTAAGCTATACCAGATAATTCAAATGTCCTTATCAAATTTATGAAAAAAGCACGTCTTGTTTCAAGCCAATTCAAAATTATCAGTTTAGTCGTGAAGTAAAGATAAAGTTAGGTACTGCTTTGTTTTGAGAAAATGATGCTGATTAAACTAATGTAGAAATTGGTTTCTACGCTTTTTCAACTATAATAACATATTTGCGTTGTAGCACTTCTCGGAAAACCCCTCCATGACCATTTACAGTGAACGAGCGTATGGTGGTAAACATATTACTTTTACCGATGAGGAGGCTAACTTCGTAAACATTGGTTATAATGATGTTGTTTCATCAGCTAAAGTCGAAAAAGGGGCGTAAGTATACATTTAACTGGAAGGTGCCGAAATTGAAGGCTATTTTAGCTCATTTTTGTGTTAGAATGAGTAAAAATTATTAATTAACGACAATTATTATCTCTAGTTAAACATCTATGAACAGATAAGCAATACGTCGCTATGGCTTTAATGTTTTCTATCGTCACATTTAATGTGGAGTTCATTGAACTCAAAGCTCTTAAGTTCTTCATATAATAATATGAAGAACTTAATATAATAAACTGTGAATATGAACACGTAAGGTACATTAATAGGATTTCGAGAGGTCAAGTTAATGAATATCTCAATTGAAATTGTTTTTTTTTAATGGAAGCTGAAAGTGACCAATACTGCTTATAATGTCTTATGACTTCATAGTTGTTAGCCCGGTCGTCATTTTGAGATCGTGGCATTCTTTAAATTTACATGACGGGTGTCGAAGATGAAACAGAATAAAATCAACATTCAAAAAAAATGTCCTTGTAACAATCCAATGAACTATATATAATAATCCTTTGGTCATATTTTCGACTTGTTCTATCGGTTCTCATTACGGTGACCAATTGGCATTGTCATGGTGATTGAGTTTAAGTTATATAAATACTAAAGAAAATACCGACATGCTAACTTAATTCAAACACAAACACGACGAAACTAGGGCAAAATATGTACAATGATATTTAAACCCAGAATGCTGAAAAAATACAAACAGAATGAAATTAGGTCTTTCCGAAGAGTATGCGTCTCCTGCTTCATCGACGACACCCGCCATATGAATCTTGCCACCTCAAATAAGCAGTGTAACGTTCCTAAAAGAGAATCGGGCAAAAAACAATAGAGACATCTGATAAACTATCGAACACACGTCCAGCCTCATATCGCATAACGCAGACTTCTGGATGAGAGTCCGTCTGAAATGCCGACATCTTGCAGGGAAATCGTGAACAAACCCTAGAGTATCGAATCAACTTCGACATGAAAACACCATAGGTTGGGCAGAAGTCTAACATAATTCACCATAATATCACCGTCCACATGAAAGTAGCAGTGAAATATCTCAAAGATATTTCAGTTCATGAGACCCATTGGAAACAGCTTGTCTTTCAATGTGTGGATTTTCATAAAAGATCCCCCCCCCCTTTTTTTTTTTAAATCCACGGATTTTACTACAAATGCATGTTTGTGTTTACATTCAGTTGGATCCGAAATTCAATATGTTTATGGTACCTTATTGTACATGTTTCACAATTATGAAGAGCTGTTACAATTTTCATTGATTGGTCGTATAACGTATCGTTTTGATTCTTTATTCTGTTGTAGCTGGGTCGGTTACGAACACATCAATTTTGAAGGAAGGCAATACTTGTTCACTAGAGGTTTTTACGATAGATCGTCAACTGAGGGCCACTTCCAGGATAGCAAGATGTCGTCTCTGAAACCAATTCGCAAGGTTTCCTGCTGAAATGAGATATGGAAAGTTCAAAATCTAGCCACAGCTTAACTATATTACTTTAATCACAATATTATAATCAACTGAAAAATAACTAGCCTATAACACCAGTTTTAACATTTATCTGTGTATTACTTTCTATTTTACTTTTTCTACATTTGCTAATGCAGATCGCAAAATAAAACTATTCGAAATCAACCGCATCTTTTGTGATATTTTGCATGTATGCCGAAAAACAATAATCTCGGAAAAATTATTTTATATTCATCAATCATATATACATTGTCCTTGAAACATTCAAATATCACCGTCGATGGAGTTATTTCAATGTAAACACATTTTTTATCGTTACCAGGTATCAAGATAGATTTATTACTGCAGTTATTCATGGCTTTATTCCGTTTTAGAATACATGAATAGATGGGCTTTACCCATGTTTTACAGAGTGCTACTAACTGTGAAAAAATATATCAAGTACAAAAAGATTTACGTGTATACAAACATCAACTTGTGAATGACAAAAAAATATATTACAGGACAAAAGTCGATAAAAACAAAACGACCAGAAAAGATAGCGTTAAAACATACTGTGGTTTGATACCATTGTCACATCTTTCCAAATATCTGCTGCTGTGAGTTGATGTTTTCCTGTCTAGCCCAAAATTATTGTTTATAAAACAAGATGCTAATGAGCCTGCACCGCTCTCTTGGTATCAAATATTCATTAAGCTTAAGCTTCTAATACTCAGCTCTAAACAGTGACAGTTATGACCTGGATTATAGGTAAATGTCTTTTATTCTTTTACTTCGACCTTGATCGGGCTTTGACATAGAAATATCTTTCCAGTAGATATCATACTTCACAGACTGACAGTGAATATGTTTCAATGTCATTTCGTTCTGTAAATGTTGTCGGGCATCATCCCACGAGACCTATTTGCCAAATATCATGCTTCTATGCCAAACGGTTGATCAGAAGAAACTGTTTAAAAGTTTTGAAAAACTTTACCCCTGTGACCTTGAATATGGTTCAATGTCATTTCCTTTAACAGACTTTGTCGGGCTGTATCCTTGGAACCTATCAGCCAAATATTATTTTCGCATCAGATTCATCATTTTAATAGTATAGTAGCAATGTGTTCTTATAGATGCAGTTTTGTCTTACAGTTCGCAATGTCATGTCACCGTATACATTTAAGCAGGACCTGTGACAATTTTCTTCATTGTCTGTATGATTCCTTTCACGCCATGCTATGAGTCATTGGAATGTTGCATTTTCGCAGACACGTTCCTGCCATGGTCACGTATAGAAGCCACACTGATCATCATTCCTTTTGATTGTTGCAGCTCCTAGTTCCTAATGGGAGATATTGCCACGGGCTAAAAGATCTAATTGTGCTGCATGTCTCCTCCATTCACGTCGAGCATCTGTTAGGATGCCGATTTCTATGTACTCTTTGCATTTTCATTACATTGATGTATAGTCTTTGTCACCTCTTCATCCAAATCATTCCTGATGCATTTTTTTTTTTTTTTTGCAAAATGGTCCATGGAGGCCGTCAAAATATGATTCTGCAAAGACACATCATATTGACTATCGAATTTCCCCTGACATCATTGCGTGTATGAAACGTATATTTTACAACAATTTACCTCCTACAATTTGGGAAGAGTTGTCACATCCAGCTGCATATTAGTATGTCACTTTTCCAGCATGTCCATGGTGGACAATTTCTGCAACATCTATTCATTTAGAACATGTTGAGGCAAGTGAAATGATACACACGTTTCCTATTCCAGACACAGGTACAGGGGCTCACCAGCATCGCCTCGCAATACACAAACGGTGAGCTGCAGTAGTTGCTGGTTTATGGGCTTGGAGATAAAAATCAAACAATTTATTCAACAAATGAATGTCTCTAATATCAGAAACCTTTCTCCAATGATAAGTTTAATTCTGTCCATCTTTTTGAACAACTCTGTTTTCATTTTCTACATACACGTGTGATATTTCTAAATATCTCTATTTTCATCTCTTCTCTTGTGTCAGATTTCCTCTTTTTTATTGTGCTCTCTTGTCTGTTGTCATCTCTTCTCCTGTGTCAGATTTCCTCTTTTTTATTGTGCTCTCTTGTCTGTTGTCATCTCTTCTCCTGTGTCAGATTTCCTCTTTTTTATTGTGCTCTCTTGTCTGTTGTCATCTCTTCTCCTGTGTCAGATTTCCTCTTTTTTATTGTGCTCTCTTGTCTGTTGTCATCTCTTCTCCTGTGTCAGATTTCCTCTTTTTTATTGTGCTCTCTTGTCTGTTGTCATCTCTTATCCGTTTCATGTTGTTTTCCATGGCGTCTTTTAGCATAAACTGATTGAACTAAGTAAATTAACGTATTTTGTATACCCTACAGATTCTACACCTGATGGAATGCCTGGCCTCGTTAGCCTTGTATTAATTACATGGTCTACACCTGATGGAATGCCTGGCCTCGTTAGCCTTGTATTGATTAAAGGGTCTACACCTCCTTGAATGCCTGACCTCGTTAGATTTGTATAAATTAAAGGGTCTACACCTCCTTGAATGCCTGACCTCCTTAGCTTTGTATAAATCAAAGGGTCTACACCTCCTTGAATGCCTGGCCTCGTTAGCTTTGTTAGCCTTTTTCTTTCATGATCCTCTAATGCTTCATCCCTTGCTGTGAAGGGACAGATATAAAAGGACAAGAAGTTGATGACATTGCACAGCATTGAATTAATTTTTGAGAATGACTAAGGAATCAAGTCTAATCAACACATAATACCTATGTTAAGTTCGGGTTAACTTTTGCAGTGGTGTTTCTGAGCCATTTTGTGTAAATGTTCAGATGTTACATCGGCATGACATCTATATGTAACATAATACAACAAGCCAACAATAATCTATGCTCGCTTTGCTCATTCTGTGACTTGCAGCAATAAAGTAGTATGGCTTCTAATTCTGTGTCACAACTTAGTATTGATGCTACCAAAATCTTATAAAGAGAAAACATGGTCAGTGTCAGCTTGTATTTTAAGACACTGACCATGTATTCTATTTCTCCTGCAACACTGATTGAAAATAAATAGTTTTGTTGTTCAGTCTGTATATAACAGAGGTTTTATCAAATTTCATAAATCTACTTGTTCATTACAACATGTAAAACCATCCGTTTAAAAACTATCTATATTATTAAACATGATGTTTCAGTAAAGTCTGGTCGAACTAATGCCCGTAATAAAATACAGTTGTTGTCCATCACTGCTGCATACAGCAAAATCATATGAGGCAGGTTGGTGATCTTTTTAGTATGTTTGATCTTTTTATTAATTAAACAAATAAACTCAATTATTAACATACAACATATTCTTTTATTTTGATGATAAATAGTCCATGGTTATACTCTTATCAACTGTACTAAACATGTTGGAAACAGATAAGAGTGCATGATCAACATGTACAAATGTTCTAAAGCATACAAGAATTAAAACAAGAGGGAGCTGGTATTTGTACATTTTGGGTTACTCTGGTACAGACAACAAATCCAGTTACCGGTATATGGCACATCGGCATTTCACTTCACCATCAGCTGGATTTTTATGTCATAAATTATGTTCTCCAGTACACCACCTCCTTATACGTTTATACATTTATACATTTAACATACTGAAATGACATATTCATATATCAAAATAATGAACAGTCTATCTATATCCATTGCACAACCTTCAGATATTAAATCATCAATCCAAAGTATGAAAATGACAACAGAGCTATAAGTTTGTTCCTAATAAGTGAATAACTGCACCCTGTATGTTCCCACTGTAATACCTAACAGATTTGTAAACCTAGCAAACTGTGATTTGCGAAGGCACAAATCCTACAAGAGTTGTGATTGGCTGAAGGCATAAATCCTACAAGAGTTGTGATTGGCTGAAGACATAAATCCTACAAGAGTTGTGATTGGCTGAAGACATAAATCCTACAAGAGTTGTAATTGGCTGAAAGCATGAATCCTACAAGAGTTGTGATTGGCTGAAGACATAAATCCTACAAGAGTTGTGACTGGCTGAAGACATAAATCCTACAAGAGTTGTGATTGGCTGAAGGCATAAATCCTACAAGAGTTGTAATTGGCTGAAGGCATAAATCCTACAAGAGTTGTGATTGGCTGAAGGCATAAATCCTACAAGAGTTGTGATTGGCTGAAGACATAAATCCTACAAGAGTTGTAATTGGCTGAAAGCATGAATCCTACAAGAGTTGTGATTGGCTGAAGACATAAATCCTACAAGAGTTGTGACTGGCTGAAGACATAAATCCTACAAGAGTTGTGATTGGCTGAAGGCATAAATCCTACAAGAGTTGTAATTGGCTGAAGGCATAAATCCTACAAGAGTTGTGATTGGCTGAAGGCATAAATCCTACAAGAGTTGTGATTGGCTGAAGGCATAAATCCTACAAGAGTTGTGATCGGCTGAAGGCATAAATCCTACAAGAGTTGTGATCGGCTGAAGGCATAAATCCTACAAGAGTTGTAATTGGCTGAAGGCATAAATCCTACAAGAGTTGTGATTGGCTGAAGGCATAAATCCTACAGGAGTTGTGATTGGCTGAAGGCATAAATCCTACAGGAGTTGTGAATTCTGATTGAACGTAATATAGGATAACAAGCTACATGTATAATGCTACACATAACATCTACAAGTAGCAGCTGTTTGTATGTTTCTATGATAAAATTGCTATGATTGGTCCTAGGCTAGTTCTCTAACATTAAGCACTGATACAAATGGGACTTATGATTCTACTACAACACCTGACCGTTCTGTGATTGGCAGATGTTTTTATTCTTTTCAGTTGTGATAAATTCCAGACATTATTACACATGGATATGTGAGAATGACTGAAAGCATAAAAGCATCATAAACATAATATATTCAGATTTCAAATCAACATAACAAGCAACACGTGATGAGCAAAGCCCTGTATTTGTTTTGATTTCGACACTTTTTACCAAAATCTAGACAGCAGTTTCCTTTTATATCCTTTGATAAATGTTTTATAAATGAGAAACTCTAGTGAGATATTCTGTGAGTGTAAATTCCCACATCTAAGCTTGTCTATATGCCTAATTTCGAGTAAATCAAACTTCCTATTACAAAAACTGTTAGCCAGGCTGGAT